GTCGTTGCGCCTCCACCGTTTGATAGTCTTCGCCATCAGAAGATCTTTCCCACCTTTTGCATAAGTATCAAGCGTCGAAAACCAAATGCGACTTCGCGACGTGTCGTGCTCGTTCCATGACGTGTCGTGCTCGTTCCATGACGTGTCGCACGAAGTGGTTTGCGAAGCGGTTGGTTGCAGACTATGAGCGTGAGGGCGTGACTCCCAGGATTTAGCGTCGCAATTTCACCAGGTTTAAGCTCAAAATGCCAAAATAAAAAAGCCTATTCAATCTCTATTAAATCTATTACTGTAAATCTCATTTCCAGGGCTTTTTTTTGTGGAAATTCCTTTCTTTCTCTTGTGAGCAGAAACACCGATGTCTCATTATTAATAATAGGGTCCTTCCACCTGTAAGACTGCAAGGAAAAGAAAGGAAATTCCGTGGAAGTAAAATTTACATTTTTGAAACTTGGGGAGTTTTAAGTTTTTATTATAATTCTTTCAAATTTGTTATATATGTTTTTAGTTACTGTGTTTCAACTAATCCCGTAACCACTTGCGAATTCAAAGCATCCATCCCAACCGCAATTTTTTTTTTTCCTGAAGTTCCAAAAAACTCAGCTGCACACTGATTTTTAACACGGTCGGACCCGAGTCCCAAGGGAAGATGCAGGCCCTCCGCCGGGTCGCCTCTTCCCTCGGGCTCATCCTCGGCCCTCTCCGGGCCGGGGCCTTCGTCTTCGACCGCCTCGTGCTCTGTGGGGTCACCATCAGCATGTTCCTCATTCAGAACTTCTTGTTCGTCCTCTCATACGCCAGGACGATTCCCAAGTGAAACCACGCTTTTGATACTCGTTTCAGAATAACTTTGAAGATTTGAGATGATAAATTTTTCCGTTGAATAGGTTCCACAATTTTATGACCATGAGTCATTTTCTGTTTATGGAATGTGTATTTGCGACAACATTAATCTGTGGAGCTAAAAGACTGGAATATTTTGGAGACATCGTGGACCCTCGTGATTCAAGTCATCCACCTAAGTCGTCCTTTTGCCTTGAGAGTTTCTTCCTTCATGGTTTTATTTAGAATATAAAGGTTTTTTTACTTGTCGGACTTGTTTGGAGTTCTTTTTTAAATTATTAATAAGGTTATAGAGTGAGGCATTGTGAACTCCACAACTTAAAATCTTGAACACACTGTGAGTGAGGAATACTAGGTTGAAACTTTCGTTTGAAACTGGTTTTATAATTCCTTTTTAATTTTTGTAAATATTTTTTTTTTAGTTACTGTGTTTCAACTCTTTCGGTAACCACTTGCGAATTCAATGCATCCATTGCATCACCTTTTTTTTTTCTAAAGTTCCAACAAATCGGTAACACATAACTCTTGTCTCGCACACACCACATACCTCGCTGCTCCGTTCGGATTCCCTCACTGGGAGGTACTCGAATGAGGGAATTCCCAAATGAGGGAATTCCCCAGGAGAAGTTTCCTCGCCGCTGCATTCAATAGCCTTTCCCGGAATGCTCTCGAGGCGTGCGATCGTCCGAATCGCTCATTCCTCGAGCACGACAATCGACCCCGCTTTTCGCTTACCCGCTCGTTATCGTAACGTCTGCGATGACGACAGTCTCGGGAATCGCGTCGGTGACCTTAGCGATGCCGGCCGTGCGTCATGAGACTTCCTCGCCGACAGGGAATGAGTCCATGGACTCCCTCTCCGTCGACTCCCATCGATTCCCAGTAACTTCTTGACGTCCAACTTTACTTTTCCCACGGCATGGCAACGAGTCGGTCCACAACAAAACGGACCATAGCGAAGCCATTAGACCATGTGGTTTAATGGCCTACGTCTGTCGGAATGGGTCAGAATCTGGGGAGAAGCACGAAATCGGGTAGGGGGTAAGGACGCTCAGGGAGACATTCCCATCCGCATGGCTCCGTTCTTTTCATCATTAGAAATGGGATTGGACGATTGCATATACCTCAAGAAGCCCGTAATTAGCGTTGGTCGATTTGTAGTTCGTGAGATGAGACGTGGCTCACTCGTCCCTCTTGGATCTTCTGTCCGACACGACCGTCGTCATTCTTTTCATGCAGATCACTTTCTTCTTCGGGCAATACATGATGGAAACGATCATTCCCCCAACCATGCAAGATTCCTTTGGCCTCGGAAACCAGGAAAATTCCCTCTTCTATCTTCTGATCGGCTGCGAAGCGATCTTGTCGTTCGTCTTCGTCATTCTGGTTCGAAAACGACTCCTCCACCGGAATGTGATCATGATTGGGAACGTGTTAATCGTGATCGTCTTGGTTTCCCTCATGCTCACGACTATGATGCAGACCTCCCACCCCGACTACGCATTCCCGTTCTTCGTCTCATCCTGCACCTTCGTCTTCCTCGGAGTCCCCACGGCCTCCGTCTCCTCTCTGGCCTCCAAGACGGCCGAACCCTAGTCCCAAAGGAAGGTGGAGGCCCTCCGCTGGGTCGCCTCCTCCCTCGGGCTCATCCTCGGCCCTCTCTGGGCCGGGGCCTTCGTCTTCGACCGCCTCGTGCTCTGTTGGGTCACCATCATCATGTTCCTCGTTTAGATCTTCTTGTTCGCCCTCTCATACTCCTGGATGATTCCCAAGTGAAACCACGCTTCTGAGACTCGTTTCAAAAATAACTTTGAGATTGGAGATGATAAATTCGTCTGTAAAATAGGTTGCACGAATTTATGCCTATGAATCATTTTCTATTCATGGAATGTGTATTTGCGACAACATTAATTTGTGCTGCTAAAAGACTTGAATATTCTGGCGACATCATGGGTCCACCTGATTCAAGTCATCCATTTACGTCGCCTTGGGAAATTCTTATTTAATTGTTTTATTCAGTATCTAAAGTTTTTTGTTACCTGAGTGACCTTTTTGGAGCCATCTTTTTTAAAATGAACTTTTTTTAGTGAACTCTACCTAATTCTGAAAAGTTTTCAATCTCATTTCACATAATTCAATCCCAATGGAATGGTAAAACAACACATTCAACCGAATTCAGCATTTTTGCTAACGACGTCGAAAAGCAATTCCCGAGTGCAAACCGCCATGCTGCCCCATCACATCGCATTGAGGCCGATGTGCGACCAAGTCGAACCGAACCCTCGCCTCTCTCTTCTTGGAGCGGCAAGTCATAGAGATACTGGATACCAAGGACCAAGGACCAAGGACCAAGGACCGGGACCTCCAGAGTGCCAGCCCGAGACGCTAACAACCGAGCAACGTCGACTGGCTTTGGACTTTTGGAGCTGCAATTGGCTTATATCCCAGCTGTCATGGTGATTCAACAGGGATTTAACGTCTAGTGTCTACCCAGCTGATTGAATCGACATCGGCTCGTTGTTGAAATGAGACAGGTCTCAACAGGTTGTTTCATTCTTGCTCATGAACCATTTTACGGCTGAAGCACCATGTAAATGCAAATGGACAATTCATTCTTGATTCATTCACAATCGAAAGTTTTTCGTCACCTAAATTTTTTTTTTTTTTTTTGGCAAGACGAAACGTCAATATTGAACTCCGCAACTGAAAATCGATTGAGTCAGGAATTCGGTCCATGTCCGCGATGAAATCCAAACGATTGAAAAGGGCGCGGTGAAGGGCCTCCAAGTCCTTTCCAGACGGCGGGATCGTCTCCTTGAGTTGATCGTTGCGGAAGGGAATCGGCTGTTGAGACTCTTAAGAATCTTAGCCGACCGTGCGACGTTGAAGCAGATCCAGTCTGATCCGTTCCGCCAGAGGCCAGACTTGATCAGACTGGATAAAACTGGATCAGACTGGATAAAACTGGATCAGACTGGATAAAACTGGATCAGACTGGATAAAATTGGATCAGACTGGATAAAACTGGATCAGACTGGATAAAACTGGATCAGACTGGATAAAACTGGATCAGACGGGATAAAATTGGATCAGAGTAAATTTGGTTTCTGGAGTCATTCTTCCGTCTGTCGTCGCGCCTCGTCCGTTTCATCGTCCACGTCATCAGATCTTTCCCACTTTTGCATAAGTTTGAAGCGTCGAATGGACATCAGTCGCGAAAACCAAACTCGACTTCGCGACATCTCGTGTTGGGTCCTTGAAGTGTCGCGCGGCGTGGTCGACGAAACGGTTGGTGGCAGATGAGCGTGAACGCGTGACTCCAAGGATTTGGCGTCGGAGTTTCACCAGGATTAAACTGAATATTTTAATCCCATATCATTGTTCATCAGAAATCATTGTTCATCAGAAATGGGGGGGGGGGCTGATTACTACGGATTAACGTCCGCACAAGCTCAATCCAGGGATTTTGTTCAACGGTTTTCTCGAATATGAAAGGTTATAGAGAACAATTTCTCGAATTTTGGGCTTGGAGATGAACTTATTAAAAAATTGTTTTAAGCCATCAACACAACCTAAGTCGAGCAAGTTCGCTCCATGTCGCCCGGTTAAGTGTCGTCGCTGTCGACACCTGGTGTCGAGTGAGAATCCGCACAGCCACGATTCACCCTGTCGCATAACTACGATTCACCCTGTCGCATAACTACGATTCACCCTGTCGCATAACGCAAGCGACCAGACCGCAAGCCATGAGCAAGGACTGTCGTCGTGGAACCGATCTGGTCTCATCCAGGCAAGCCAGATCAAGTTCGAAATACCGAGACCAGATCGGGTATAGCGAGACCGGTATAGCGAGAAGCACGAGATCTGCTCGAGTGAAGTGATCTGCTCGAGTGAAGTGATATGCTCAAGTGATGAAGTGAAGCCCAACTTGCCCTCTTTCCTCATTGAAACCATCCGCAACGAGAGAGGACAGATGCATGGGATGAATCGTCGCGCGTGACATGGTTCCCTACAGCGTTCTCGAAGAAGAAATAGGGTCAAAGCGCAATTTCATCTCTACCGGATGAGTCAGACACCTTGAAGGCATTTTTGAACGATTGGAAGTTTCGTTTCTCATCTGATATGCAGGTGCAGGAGAGGAAGCGAGATGCCCGAGTCCTTGCCCCTCCTCGTGGAAAGAGCCGCGAAGAACTTCTATCGGCGTCGGCTGGTGACGGTCGTCATCGGCCTGGTGGTGGCATTCGCCGTCGGGTCCGAGAATGCCATCATCCTCCCGACGGCGTGGAAGTACCTTCAGTCCCTTGGATCCAGGTCGGTCGGGTCCATGAAATTCTCTTCTACCCCCCCCCCCCCGGGATTTATTTTATTTATTTGATGATGTCTCTGCAGGGATGAGACGGACTTCGGGATCCTCATTTCTGCTTTCAACGTGGGTGGCCTCATTTCCTCCGTTTTCTTCGGCTGGCTCGTGGACAGACGGATGGACCTCTGCAAAAGAATCGTGTTCGTCGGTGCCATGATCCAAATACCTGGGAACGTGATGTACTTCCTCGGGATCCACAAGTGGTTCGTCATATCCGCCAGATTCATCTGCGGACTCGGAAGCGGGATCATCGCGGTCATTCTCGCCGAACTGGCAAGAGCCACGTCCAACGAGGAGCGGACGAAGTACTTGACATTAGGATTTGGCTGTCGCCAATTGGGACTTCTCTTCGGCCCTGCGTACAATTTTGGCTTGCACGACATCCATACCCATTTTGGCGATGTTTCCGTGGATGAAGGTTCCCTGCCTGGATTGATCTTCGCCATTTTTTGGGCCCTCGCTCTGGTCGCCATCTTCGCCGGATACGAAAACATCGGAAAACTCCACCACTCCTTGCAGATGCTACAAGAATACGCTAAGGAGTCTGAAAGCATTAAATACGGCACGTTCTCGTCCATTCCAGCGACCTCGGACCGCCACCCGGTCGCCTCGACGGCCGCGAGGGAGCCAGAAGTTCGAGTCCTGCCCTTACCTTCTTCGACGCCATATCGAAACAAATTTCAAAGAGAGATCCCATACGATCGACTGGATGACGTCGTTCACTCGTCGTTCTTGGATCTCCTGACCGACACGACCGTCGTCATTCTTTTCATGCAGATCACTTTCTTCTTCGGGCAATACATGGTGGAAACGATCATTCCCCCAACCATGCAGGATTCCTTTGGCCTCGGAAACCAGGAAAATTCCCTCTTCTATCTTCTGATCGGATGTGAAGCGATCTTGTCGTTCGTCTTCGTCATTCTGGTCCGAAAACGACTACTCGACCGGACTGTGATCATGATTGGGAACGTGTTAATCGTGATCGGCTTGGTTTCCCTCATGCTCACGACCTGGGTGCAGACCTCCCACCCCGACTACGCATTCCCGTTCTTCATCTCATCCTGCACCTTCGTCTTCCTCGGAGTCCCCATGGCCTCCGTCTCCTCCGTGGCCCTGGCCTCCAAGACGGTCGGACCCGAGTCCCAAGGGAAGATGCAGGCCCTCCGCCGGGTCGCCTCCTCCGTCGGGCTCATCCTCGGCCCTCTCTGGGCCGGGGCCTTCGTCTTCGACCGCTTCGTGCTCTGTGGGGTCACCATCATCATGTTCCTCATTCAGATCTTTTTGTTCGTCCTCTCATACGCCAGGATGATTCCCAAGTGAAACCACGCTTCTGAATCTCGTTTCAGAATAACTTTGAAGATAGGAGATGATACATTTGTCCGTTAAATAGGTTCCACAATTTTATGATCATGAGTCATTTTCTGTTCTTGGAATGTGTTTTTGCGACAACATTAATCTGTGCAGCTAAAAGACTTGAGTATTTTGACCTCATGGACCCACGTGATTCAAGTCATCCACCTACGTCGTCCTTTTGCCTTGAGAGTTTATTCCTTAATGGTTTTATTCAGAATTTAAAGGTTTGCTTTTATTTGTCTGACATTTTTTGGAGTTCTTTTTTAAATTATTAATAAGCTTCTATGGTGAGGCATTGTGAACTCCGCAACTTAATATCTCGAACACCCTGTGAGTGCATAATAATTCGTTCCATGTTTGTGATGAAATGCAAATGACTGAAAACGGTGCGGTATAGTCTCCGAGATCTTTCCAGACGACAGTACCATATCCTTGAGAAGGTCGTTGCTTAAGGGGATCAGCTGTTGAGACTCAGAAAACTCTTAGCCGACCGTACGACGCTGAAGCAGATATTTCAAATCACTGAAACTTCTCTTGACACTCCTCCTGGTGGAGGAGGGGGAGAGTGGGCGGGGGAGGATAGGGGGGAGGGGAGGATGGGGGGGGGGGGGGATAGGGGGGGGGGGGGGGGGGGGGTGATGGGTCCCACTTGAGGCCGTCGCGCCCTGGTTAGTCTAAACCCATGCCTATTTCAACTCCGAGCTCTGAGTGGTGCTTGAGCCAGTCTGATCCATTCTGCCGGAGGCTCGACTGGATCAGATTGGATCAGAATGGATGAAACTGGATCAGAATGGATCAAAGTAAAACTTTATTTCTGTAGCCGTTCTTCCGTCTGTCGTTGCGCCTCCACCGTTTCATAGTCTTCGCCATCAGAAGATCTTTCCCACCTTTTGCATAAGTATCAAGCGTCGAAAACCAAATGCGACTTCGCGACGTGTCGTGCTCGTTCCATGACGTGTCG